AAACTTGCCTTGTGCGGGGTAAATAAGAGATGTACAGCTATAATTGTAGCCCATATTCACAACATAAAATTCTCTTTATAAAGGGGCTACAGTTGTAAATCCTGGATATGCACTTAGTCATCAATATCTATCTATACATATCAAGGTTTTTAATCCACCGTTGACCCGGATGGTTGAACCATCACCCAACCAATTTTTTTGGGTTCGGTTCTCATAAAACTTGGGATTTGTTAAAAATCATTGACAAGTCAGAAAATTGGACGACCTAGATGGTTGAACCGTCGAACTGGCAACCTGATAAGCAAGCGACAGTGCAACTGTCGACCTATACTTTTTAGTCCATTTTTTAGGTTTAAAAAATTGAAAAATTTCCCAAAAGTCCCAACTCGAGCTCCCTTCTCTTTTTACATTTTTTTGGGTTTTCTCACATTTTTTGCATTTTTTGGATATATATTTTTCGCAAATATTAGGCATTTTATATGTTTTAAGATATTTCAGACATTTATTCAGCTATTTATAGTTTATATCATTTTCTAGATATTTATACTGGTTAACCCACCCAGTTGAACCGGTGACCCTGACCCATTGGAAAAACCGGGTTGACCTCSAGATCAGTTTTAAAAATATTGATATCTATACTATATTATAAAGCGATTAGGTACCAAGTCAACAACCCTCTCCTTCCACTCCCCATTCTCTCTTTTTTTCCTTAAACCTCTCTCATTCCTCCCTTACCCCATTCTTGTTCTTTCATTCACTCTCTCTCTTTTCTCAACTTTCCCTACTCAGGCTTCTCAATAGGCCATGTCAGCAATTGGCCTCAACCATCTACATACAAATGAAAAAACTTTAGCTGTTGGGAGCCAACAGCCTTTGCTGTTGAGAGAATTTCTGGAAATGCCACATTATTATGAGAATGGGTAAATTAATAATTACATCTTAATTTATTTTGACCGAAAACAAAAGCATGAGGGTGAATAGGTGAGCTGCCCAGAACATGCCCAGCCCAGAAGCTGTTGAGAGAATTTCTGGAAATGCCACATTATTATGAAAATGGGTAAATTAATAATTACACCTTAATTTATTTTGACTAAAAACCAAAGCATGAGAGTGAATAAGTGAACTGCGCAGAACGTGCCCAGCCCATAAACTGTCTCAACAGCCTATGCTGAAGTTAACCCCATACAAACCACCCTATTACACCGAAATCATGGTATATTAGCTAAAAACGAAATTACCATCGTGTCTCGGTAGGAAACCTTCCAAAACATTCTCCTCCTCCCTCCTTTCTTCTCTACATTCAGTTTCCCTTCCATTCTCACATTGTTCTTCCCCGAACCCACCACGCCCCTGTTCGTTTTTTTGATTTGTCTAAGATATCGTTTTTCCACTACCCAGTGAGTTCTTCATCTACGTAGATGCTAAATTGAAATAGCCAAACATATTACAATCATCACTCACTCAACCAAATATTACATCTGTTTCAATTCACCGCTTGAATAGATGTAATAGATGTTAAAGCACTCCACTTGCAATCATTCATCCATGCTTGTTATTCAGGCTCCATTTGGAAGGAGTATAAATACAAATATATACAGTACAAAAAATATAAGATTTTGCACTCTACTTATTTGTATTTATACTCTTTTCAAACTGAGCTTTACTTTCAATTTTTTTTAATTGATTAAATAACATTTTTAAAACTTTTAATCACTTCTTATAAAAGAAAACAGAAATATTAGMTCAAGACAACACATATCGGCTATCCGAGCCACACGAAAAGCGTTACTGTCGTCGCTCTATTGAGTGGACAGCGTAACTGTTAATCAGGTCAAGAAGATGACCCCAAAATGGGTAATCGGGCCGGGTTCTAATGTGGTATCCGCATCTTTCTTTGTTTACCCTGTTTTTAGAAATTATTTTAAATGAATTATTGTCTGCTAATGATTCTGTGATTAATAATAGTTTCTTATTAGTCTGGACCTGTGGGATGCATGGGCTTGAAGTATATTTAAGGCTGGAGTCTTATGACATTCTTACATCAAGCTAAAGCAAATCCACCCCCTTTTTTTGTATTTAGGAGGGAAAAGGCTCTAACGTAAGCAAGGGGTAAATCAAGCCCAATGATCATGGGTGAAGCAAATGGAATCCGGGGAAGCCCTAATGGCCACTTATACTAGTCCTCCTCCATGTAATTTTCCCCTTTCCCCCATCCCTACCCAATGATTAACCCCATCCATTATTATTCTCACGTTCTCATCCATTTAATTAGATTTTGGCTCCTATAGATTGTGTTTAGTTTGAAGGAAAAAAGTAGGGAAAGAAAGGAAAATGTAGGAAAACCTATACAAGGTTTGTAAAGGTTTTCCTATTCTCTACATTTCCCTTCCTTTCCCTATCTTTTCCTTCAAACCAAACATAGCCATAGAAAAAAATTTGTCTCTTCCCATACCAAAGATCTTTGGTCCTAGCCCTTTAAATGGAAAATTGGCCACATTTTTTGTTTAATTACTACTTAGCTCGTTATTTTGTAAAATATAATTGATTTTGGCCAATGGACCTTGGATCCAAACTGCATAATCAATGAACTGTTTGAAGTGAATAACCCATTCATAGACTAATAACTATTTTTGTAATTTAAATATTTCGTTATATTTATGTTGAATATCATGGTTTTTGAATCAAGGCAACCRATTCCTTTTCACCTTTAACTCGTATCTTGGCAAAAAAATTGTTGACTTGGTCAGCGACCTACTAACGATCGAGCTATCGAACTATTTGACCTAGACGATGGTTTTTTGCCATTTTAATAAWTTTTTAATTGTTTTTATATTGGAATGAGCCATCTATTCGGATTGGACTATTTGGCCTAAAAACCATCGAGACAACTAGCTTTGTTTCACCCTTAACCCATATCTTGGCTAAAAACCATTAACTTGGTCAGTGACTCGTTGACTCTGATGGTTGAATTGTCGACTTGTTTGATCTAAATAATGGCTTTTGGCCATTTTATTTTAATTATTATTTTTTATTTATTTTTAAATTGGAACGAATGTCTGATCTAAATTGGAATGGGTGGTCCATTCTAATTTAAAAAACAAAAAAAAAAATCATTAAAATAAAAATGGCCAAAAGCCATTGTTTATTTAATATTGAATAGGTCAACGATTCGACCATCCGAGTCAACGAGTCACACACCAAGTTAATGTTTTTTAGCCAAGATACGGCTTAAGGGTGAAACAAAACTAGATGTCTCGATGGTTTTTAGGCCAAACAATCCAACCGTCCAATCCAAACAGATGGCCCATTCCAATATAAAAATAAAAAAATTAAAATTAAAATGGCCAAAAACCATTATCTAGGTCAAACGGTTCGACGGTTCGATCATTAGCAGGTCATTGACCAAGTCAGCAATTTTTTAGCCAAAATATGGGTTAAGGGTGAAATGGTACTGGTTGCCTCGATGACTCGAAAACCATGATATTCAACATAAATATAACAAATATTTAAATTATAAAAAATAGTTATCAATCTATGAATGAGTTATTCACTTCAAACAATTCAACGATTATGCAATTTGGATCCAAGGTCCATTGGCCAAAATCAATTATATTTTATGGGCTAAGTAGTAATTAAAAAAATGTGGCCAATTTTCCATTGAAAGGGCTAAGATTATGGAAAGGGCCAACTATTTTTCTATAGGAGCCAAAGCCTAGTTAAATGGATGAGGACGTGAGAATAATAATCAATGGGGCTTTCGGGGGCTAATCATTGGATGTGGGTGGGGGAGAGGGGAAAATTACGGGTAGTAAGGGGGGGGGATTTGATTTAGCTTGATGTAAGTAAAATATACTTAACAAAGCCCATGCATTGCAAACTCAAGTAAGTTATTCCTACTTCAAACTTTAAGGGTCCATTTAGTTCCTAGTTAGAATCGGAATGGAAATTCTCCCAAAGTTGAAATCGGAATGTCTATTCCCATAGTTTGTTTGGTTTGGTAAAAGTTAAATGAGAATTAGAATAATTAAGAATGGGATTTCATTCCCAAAGAGAGGGGAAGAGAATGGCCATTGCAGGAATGAGAATGAAACTATTCCAGACCCTCTATTCCTGCCAACCAAACTAGGCCTAATTTCTTTCATTGCATATTACTTCATTTATATTAATTATTCATCAAATACTATCTCATTAAATGTATGATTAATATTTAACTATTCTTGATTTGTATTTGTCCATTAATTGTTATTTCTCATCTAATGTTATTTATTTTGGTTACACTATTTACTTTTCAATAGTTGAAGTTTATCATTCTTACACTTAATATATCATATAATCTTAAAATTATTAGCAGTAGTTTGTATATTTCCCTTTTTTTTTTTTTTCATTCGCAACCTCCTAGTGTAGAAACTCTAAAAGGGTCGTTTGGAAAGAGTAAAAATGCAAATATATGATATAAATACATATAAAATAATACAAAATATAATGTTTTACACTCTATATCTATATTTGTACTCCTTCCAAACTGAGCCTTAGATTCTATTTATAATAAATAAAAATAAAATATATTCAATGCAAAAGCTTACATGTCTAAACTTTTTAATGGACTTGTTGAGACTCCCCAGCAGATTTATTTGCCCAGCTAACATGCCAACGTAGGTACATATTTCATATTTGTATTTGCACTCTCCCGAAGGCCTAAACTGAACCTTTGTAAAAAAAAAGATTTAAATTAATGAAATTGCCTTCGGGCTTATATATAAAAAAAAAAMCCAACCAAATTTATCAAACCAACCAAACAAAATTATGGTTTGGTCATGCAACGCAATCGTTCCCAAACATGCCCTCAGTCAGTCAGTTGATAAAAAGTTTAGGCAGTCTATAAGGAATCACGATGATATGTGGCTTTTCACCGTCTGATTATTTTTATGGTTTTAGAAGATAGTAGATTAGAACTTTCAGATGGAGCGCTGGGCCCACACCGTTGCTTAAACCTGTCGAAATGAATTTAATGACCGCTTTTTTTTCCTGCCCGCCGAGGCGCCGAGAAACCCTAAACCTCTTGAAAACCCTAAACCTCACTAATTTGCTCCAACAGCATTCGTATCGTAGCTGCAGAAGAAGAAACCTCAAGGTTCGTCTCTGCAATCAAAACAATGGCCTTCTCTACCATCCTTCGCAGAGCTGCTTCGACCGTCGTTCCTTTAGCTGTTCGTGCCATCGGAACTCAAAGAAATTATCATTCTTCATTGTTCGCTTCTTTGAAAAGCAACAGCCTTTCTCAGGATGTCTGTTGGAGAACATTTCTTCCGGCGCTTAACTTCTCTTCAGCGGCTAAGAGGCCGAGTTCCGATGAAAACCTCCTTAGAGTCATTGAAGATGAGATCGAATGCGCTGAGCAATCGGACGATCACAACCGGGTCAGCTCTTTATTCTTCGATACTCAATCACTTTCTCCTTAGTTGTCAAAAATAACTTTCTCATTATCCCTCATATGCACATTACTTCGCCTGTTTATTGTTAGCTGCGAGATATATATATATTTTTTTTTATAACTCTAGAATGTCAAATGGGTTCTGTTCCAGTGGTGTTGGAAACTCTTTGTCACTAAGTTATTTCTCCGGTGGTGCATCTAAAGCTAGGGAGAAATTGAACTTATTTTATTTATGCTTTTTCCCTGTTTGTTTCCTTCGATTTGTTGACCTTTTGTTTTAAGTGTTTGATTTTGGGTTGGTAATTGAGATTGTGTCTATCTTATTTAAGGTCAGGGTGCTGAAATTGTTCTTCAATTAAAGATATATACTAATATAATGGGATAAAAAATCTCGAAAAGGTTTTCAGGCGTGACATTCACATTGTCCTTCCATGTTTGAATCTTTAGTGTCGCCACAATCATGTTTGAATCCCGTTCTTCTTATCCTAGGAAGTTGACACCTAAGATCTATTGGCCTATTATTTTTCCAATTTAGTGCTGCTTTTGAATGTTCTTTTGTGTCTGGGGAAGGGAGTTCTTCTATTCCTTAGGATCTAGCTTTTGTGTGGACAGGGAGCTTGGAATAACTGCCTTTAGTGTATATATACTACCTAAACAACTCCCTATTAGTAACTTCACCAGTATTTTTCTCCATTATAAAAACTGCATTCCTTGTGCTTTTTGTTTAAATCGTCTCTGCATTATAGGTAGAAGAGATTCCTGATGGATTCCCTTTCAAAATCGAAGATAACCCTGGAGAACAAACGATTTCACTAAGAAGAGAGTACCAAGGTGAAGTCATTAGTGTTGAGGTTCACATGCCTGATCTTGTTACCGGTGAAGACGAGGATGATGAAGATGAAGACAACGATGATGATAGTGAGAGGGGCACCCAATCCAGTATTCCACTGGTTGTAAGTGTTTCTAAAGGGAGTGGGCCTTACCTGGAATTTGGTTGCACTGCTTACCCAGATGAGATTTCAATTGACAGCTTGTCTGTGAAGGAACCAGAAACTTCTGAAGATCATATTCCTTTTGATGGACCAGATTTTTCGTAAGTCATTCTAATTAATGGATTCAAAATTTAATGATGCATCTTTATTATTACTTCTTAGTTTCTTTTTATCATCTTACATTTCCCCTATTCTTTCTCTCAAGGGATTTGGACGAGAATCTGCAGAAGGCCTTCCACAAGTATCTGGAGATTAGAGGAGTTAAACCCAGCACAACCAATTTCTTGCATGAGTACATGATCAACAAGGATAGCAAGGAGTACTTGATGTGGCTGAAAAACCTGAAGAAATTTATTGAGAAGTAAATATACGACAATTCAATGGCTTCACTTCCTTCTGAAGTTGCAGGGTTGTAAGTTTTTTTATTTGGTTTCTTTTTTCAAATTGCAACAAAATGATCACTAAACCCTGATATATACCAAGTAGCAGTAAGATGGTCATTCTGGTAATGTTGTAACTTTTCTTAAGTATGTAGCCTTTAGCACCTTGCCAAAGTGAGTTGATACCCAGTCTTTAGTCAATTAACACATGGTAGTTGTTGAGCTGGGTTYGTGTCAAGGTCCCTTTTTGATTAAAAGGGAAGGCGATGTTTTTTTGACCTGTTGATCCGAATAGAGCATATTCTGCAACTATTTTTTCAGTGTTGAATGTAGTCTGTTCGTTTATTGAGGTAGATTTCACAATGACTTAATAACTTGCTTCATAGTTTGAATTCAGATGGTCGTTACACTCGATATCACTTATTTTGGTGGTTGTTGGATGCGTTATTCTAGGCCAGAAATTGCTGTTTTATTTTTTGATTAATTTTTTTAAGTAAACATTGTGTTACATTTTACCCTAGATTATGGTCAATAGCTTGAGGATACGGATGCTGTTTTGAAATTAGAAAGAAGTTGAATAAAATATTGCCTGAACTGGGGTGTAGTCTCGGTGCTGTAGATACTGTTCTCTCTCTCTCTCTCTCTCTCTCCCCCAGTTCATTGTTTTCTCTCCTTTGAATGGGCAAATATAGTGGAAAAACCAAACGACTTGGTGAGCATAAATTATAACCAAATTACATTGGAGAAATCGTCGAAAAACTTGGCTACCAACAGGTCATTAATTGCCAAACTGGGGTGTAGTCTGTTTGGTTATCAGATTCAGTTGGAATCGGAATTGGAATGGTATATTCTCATAATCTGTTTGGTTCAGATACGAATTGAAATAAACTGGAATGGGTCAAGAGAGGGGCAGGGAATGGATAATCCCTCAAATTGGGGATGCCATTCCACAAGGAACGGGAATGGAATTCAGATTCTGTCCAACCAAACATTTGGAAATGAGCCCTTAATTTTCCCTGTTAAGAAGTCACCTTTTCTATTCCTAGCAGTATGATGGTATTATGGATTACAAATTATTTCAAATCCCTTGGCGTGGATAAACTGTCTTTGATTAGATGCTTGTCTGAAAGAGGAAATAAGAGGGTTTTTGAATTCTGAACACGATTCTGCTATATGTCGTATTTACTGGGTTTCGTCAGAGATGTTCATACTTCAGGATCTTACTATGATTTTCTGTGGCTGGACACCTGGACCAGTTATCGTAGCCGTAAAGGTTCTTACAAATATCATCCATATTTTCTCAGTCTGTTGTTATTTGTTACAAAGTTACAGTAGCTATTGGCTAAACCCTAAACTTTCGTAGTTTAACGTTGCCAAGAGGGGAGGTTGAGGGATTACGTCTTTATAAATTGTTTATACACAAATTTCCACATATCTTCCTTTTTATCGTAATCAATCAATTCATACATGTGCCATCCCATCATTGGTAAGAGTCGAATTGGAATTGCAATTGGAATTATGGTCTGTTCGTTTGTTTGGTTAACATGAATTGGAATTAGTTAGAATGGCCTATGGGATTTCATTTAAGGGAGTGGGAGAAAATGGCCGTTCCCCCTATTCTACCAGAAATGGAAATTGATATGATCCCATTTCCTTCTAWTTCATTTTTAATAAAATAGTTAGAATTGAAATGGTCTATTCTGATTCTGATCTCAGATCCCTATCCTGTGAACCGTAAATGGGCTGTGAGTGTCTGGTTCCCTCGATAGAGTACTGTAACTTGTATTAAAATACTCATAAGGACATGGTAGGATTTAGGAGGATCTGTAACAAGGATTGAGATCGAAAATGACCTAGGAAAAATTTTCCCCGGGTAGAGTTTCTGACAATCAGAAAAAAGAAAGAGTTGTGAGCTCCTGAACTGGTAGCAAGAGTGATTAGAAAATAGCAAGTACATGTCTAAGTATGCATTCAAATGTGACCTTTTGTTGGGCACCTAGGAGGAGTCCCGGTCTGAGAGTAACGACCCCTGCTTGGTGGAGTCCGGCTTCTATCATGATTCAGGGCCGAGTCCATTCTCGCACTGTTCGTGTAACATGAGGACGTGCCATGCATCTTTGGATTCGTGCGTTGGCTTAATACGTGCGAAATGAATTAATCTGAGTTTTTACTTTACGCCGTAAACTTCTCCTTCCTTCCATTCCACTTCCCGTTGGCGCTGGAGACTCTCCAATTGGCGGCGACCAACGGCCATCACCGGCGATTATTAATACTGGCGACCAGAGAAAAACCTTAAGTTTTTTATTCGTTCATCATTGGCGACTGTTTCACCAGGTAGAGTTCTCGTTTAGCATGCTATTCTATTATGGGAATCGATACCCCGCATCTCTACTGCTTTTCTTTTACATTTTTTTTTGTTCCCGACCCGGTGTAGGTTTGAAACTTTAAATATTTTTCTCTCTTTTTAATTCATTCTTTGAATTTTTTTTGGGTGTCTGGCAAATGAAAAGGAATCTGAAAAACATTTGGTCAAGAAGTAAAACGAGGGAAGTATGAGTGGGAGGATGTATGTAGATCGCTGACTGTGTGGAGAAAGTCACTCTAGCTCAGTTGTAATGGGTTTACGGTGATCGATTCTGACGGGAAGTTGGTTTTTAGGGTCGACAATTATATGGACGGTCATAGGGAAGAGATCCTCCTCATGGACGGCTCAGGCAACCCCCTCCTCACCATGCGTCGCAAGGTCTCTCTGTCTCTCTCTGAATTCTTAATTTTTTTTTTCATGAATCGTCTGAGCTTTAATTCGAGTGTGGTAGGTCTTGTGTTTACATGATCTTCACCTAACACCAGATTCGTTTACGTGATTGAAAACTCCTACTGACAAAGATTGTGCCAAGTGCTCGATGAGTCGAGGAAGGTGATGGCAGAGATTAAGAGAAAGGAAGCCATGTCCCAAGGGGGTAGAGGAGGAATCTTCTTCTGTGTATGTCTTTCTCCTCGTTTATCGGACACCCAGAAACCGCCGGTTGGACAGGGAGAGAGTGAGTGACTGGCGAGGGCAGAGTTCGACGTGTCTTGAGCGGAAAGTAGGATGGAATGAAGGAGAAGCTAATGACGCTAAATATAGAATTATAGACTCCGTTTAATTGAAATCGGCTTCTATCGGAGAAATCCGTGCCACACAATTCTAACCATCATTTACAATCTTGCATTGGATATATCTCTCCATGAAATAAAGTACATGCTTGAAAGCCMTGAGTGAAGCCGAACTCCGTTTCATTTGTTTTGTGATGAAGGAAGATTTGGCCCGACCTCGTAATCACTCGACACGTGGCGAATGYAACAGCTCGGTACGACAATACACCTAAGATACGAGCTCCGAAATAAGGAACCAGCGGTCCGAACTCTCCGTAAGGTGCCCGAATTCTCCCTTAAGCCCTGAGCCTTGCAAGCAGAAAGGGCAACGATCCGAACTGGCCTGCCCCATGGCAGTTCGTGACACACCTCTATCCGAACTCAAGACTTCACCTCGCTCACCACTTCAGCACTTCGCCTCCAGGACACCAAATTGAACAAACCGTACCACACCCGACATCGAGGAAGTCCGTACCTAGGAGCAATGCACCTGACTGACTTGGCATCTAACGCT